AGGGTTTAGGGTTTAGGGTTTAGGGTTTAGGGTTTAGGGTTTACATGTTGAACGATCATGAGTCTGATTTGTTGTTCTAGTTTTTCAGGTGTAATAAATTCTTTCCCGTTGCTGCTGGGCAGCAGCCGCAGCAGCTGCTGCTGCAGCAGCAGCTGCAGCACATCAAGACACGTACTCTCGCTCATCTGCTGCTGCGGTGGTGCTGCTTGTAGGGCCATAAACTGGGCCCTCAGGGCCTCTAGGTCCCCCATACTTAAACCCTAAACCCTAATAAACCCTAATAAACCCTAAACCCTAGAAAGGTCTGCAGCAGTTGCTGCTGCAGCTGCTGCTGCTGCTCCTGCTGCTGCTGCTGTTGCTGCTGTCGCTGCTGCTGATGGTGGTTGTGATGAGTAGGAGGGGAAGAATAATAGTAATTAAATATTTATTTTTTTATAAATATAAAAATTATTTATTTTTTTATTTTTTTTATTTGTTTATATCTTTTGGGGCTGGTAAACTTGTCGGTGTGCATGCGGGAGAGAAGAGCGATGAGTGTGTGTTGTTTTTGTTTGTTTTTTTGTTTTTTTTATTGTTATAAATAAAAAATAAATATATTAAATTATATTAATTAATATATAAATACTTTTTATTGTTTTTTATTTTATTTTTATTGTAAATACATAAACAAAACCACACAGAGAGCGGTGAGAGCGAATGGCCCATGGCGGTCAGCTGCTGCTGCTGCTGCTGCTGCAGCAGGAATATATATATATAATATTTTTGTTTTGTTGTTTTTATTTATTTTTATTTTTTTATTTTGTTTTTTTATTAATTAAATATATATTTATATACGATATTGAGTTGCTTCTGCTGCTATCTCTACCGCTGCTGGTGTTCCTGCTGCTGCTGCTGCTGCTGCTGCTGCTGCTGCTGCTGCTGGTGACTCGCTCCGTCGTCTCCTGCTGCTGCCTGTCTCCGGTTTGCTGCTGCTTCTGCAGCAGCAGCAGCAGCAGCAGCAGCAGCAATGTGTGTATATTGTATAATGTCTCTTTTTAATATGTTTTGTTGGTTTTTATATTATTAATTAAACAGAGACAGGCTGCTGCTCTATCCTGGGGTGTATAGGCAGCTCAGCTAGCTGCAGTTGTTGCTGCTTCTCTATTTTGTTATTTATATAGATACACATATAAATATATATAAATATATAAATATATAAATATATAAATATATATATATATTATTCTTTCTCTTTTTATTTCTTTTATTTATTCTTTTCTCTCTTCTTGCTGCTGCTGTCTCCTACGCTGGGATGGGGGCCCCCCAAGTCTTCAGTCCCCTCTATGTCCCTGAGGGGGCCCCCCTCGACGACCCCGAAGCAGCAGCAGCAGCAGCAGCTGCTGCTGCTGCTGCTGCTGCTGCTGCAGGCGCAGGGGATGAGGCAGGCCAAACGACGGGTGAGGAGAAAGGC